AGGAGGAGGAGGAGGAGGAGGAGGAGGAGCAGCAGCAGCAGCAGCAGCAGCCTGGGGCAGGCTCTTCTTCCCGGGACCGCAGCCTGCAGGAGCCTGCGTTGCTGGAGCTGGGCGGTGACAGCAGTCGTCCTCAAAGACCTGGACCATGTCCCTTGTCTCCTGAGCCCTGCAGTGCCGGGGACCACCTGGAGGACATGGCAGGACTAGTTGGTGGAAGCAGCTGGGGGAGAGGAAGTGGCTCTACCGAGAAGCCCCCAAACCGCAAGCGGTCCCCAGATCCCCGTGAACACTGCAGCCGCCTTCTCAGCAACGGCGGGACCCAGGCTGCTGGACGACCCGGCCCCACACGGGAGAGGGGTGGCCCACCTGTGGGCGAGGGCGCCAGGGGTGGACCGGAGGCTGGTGGGAGAGGGCGGCCAGCCCCTTCCCAGAGGTACCCTCATGGCCGGACGCCAGAGTCTATCCTGACCAGCTGCCTCTCCCCCAAGTGCTTGGAAATCAGCATCGAATATGATTCTGAGGATGAGCAGGAGGCAGGCGGCGGGGGTGTCAGCATCACCAGCTCCTGCCACCTCAGAGACGGGGAGGCCTGGGGCACAGCGCCCATAGGAAGGTCCAGGGGAGCTCTGAAGGCCAATTCAGGCCCCAGCCCCTACCCACGCCTCCCGGCCTGGGAGAGAGGGGAGCCAGAGCGGAGAGGCTGCAGTGCGACTGGCAGAGCCAAGGAGCCAGCCTCCCGGGTCCGTGCCCACTCCCCACCCCCGGCAGCCCCCTGCCTGCTGCCGCCTGGTGGCTCTGCTTGCTGCCCACCAGCCACTCCCATTCCACGCTGCCGCCTTCATCAGCAGAGGTGGGGCTGGGCCTCTGGGCTCCCTCATCTGTCTCTTCCCACCCACATTCCACTGCTTTGCTGCTTCTGCTGATCGGAACTGGGATGCACCATATTCTGTTATTATTTAGTCACCAATTGCCGCCAGCCGGCCCCCGGCCTTCGGGCAGGGTGGCCCTTTCCTCTGCTTAGGACACTGACTGTGATGTCCAGCGTCACCAACCCTGACGCTGAGGAGAGGCCCTCCTCTCAGTTTCTCCTGGGTCAACTCTAAGTTCTCACCTTAGTCCCCTCCACTGCACACAGCTTACCAGGGTGGCTGGAGCTGGGGCTCTCCACCGGCCCTGCCTCCCCCCATGGGGGTGTCTGAAGTCTCCACTGAGGCTGGACCGAGACTGCAGGAGAGGAATGTTGTGTCCCTGCTCTGCTGTGCTGCTTTTGCTGACGGGGCAGAGCTGGGGAGCACGTGCGGGGTCCTGCCCCTATTGAGGTGCCCGCCGGAGGGATGGTGTGACATTTCTGCCCTCTGTTGCCCCCTCTTTGCAGGCAACGGAGATCGGAGAGCCCAGAGGGCAGGACAGGTCTGGGCAGAGGGGCCCCCTTCGGAGAGGGGCCCGAGCCCCCAGGCCAGACGCCACTGAGCTGGGTGAGCACCTGATGGGGGCTGGGCTGGGCTGGGTGGAGGGGGCCTTTCCTAGCCTCTTGGCCAGAGCTCATTATCATTGCTCTCTCTCCCCAACTTGCCACAGCCCCTCCGAGGAGCCGCCCAGAAGAAGTGCTGGCTCACCAGGACCTACCTGTCAGGGTCTTTGTGGCTCTGTTTGACTACGACCCTGTGTCAATGTCACCCAACCCTGATGCTGGGGAAGAGGAGCTCCCCTTCCGGGAAGGCCAGATCCTGAAGGTGACTCACTGTCTGGGTCCTCCCCCCTCCCTCCTCTCCTGTGTGGAGATAGAACCCATGCATGGGCCAGCACACAGCTTTTAGAGCCACGTGCAGTGGGGCTGTCACTTCTGGCTGTGTAACCTTGAATAGATGAACTCTTCTGGGCCTGTTTCCTCATTGGTAAAATGGGGATAATGTTAATGTCTACCTCACAGGGCTCTTCTGAGGTTTAAATGATTCAGTTCACACAGAGCACTTAAACTGCCTGGCACATAGCCCAATATAACTACTGCTGTTAACATCACAACATATATATATATATGTTTCAGAGAGGAAGGGAGATGAGAGATAGAAATGTTAATGATGAGAATCATTGGTCGGTTGCCTCCTGCACCCCTATGCCCCCCACACTGGGGATAGAGCCCGAAACCCAGGCCTGTGCCCTGACTGGGAATTGAACCATGACCTCCTGGTTCATAGGTTGACGCTCCACCACTGAGCCACATCAGCTGGGCAGCATCACAACTTTTATTATGCTTCCAAGTATTTATTGAAGGCTTTTGCTCTTGCTCTGAGGTTGGGGAGATCTGTTTTGAGGTAGGGCCAGGGGAATGGACGTGCAGGTAGTGGGTGACGATGATACAGAAAAGGCTATTTTCTTTCGATCCTTATTCTTGGCCCTTTCCCCCTATTTCGTGTTCCACAGCCACAAAAGGCAGAGCGTTCTGCAATTCCAAGTGTAGCGCTGCGGGGCTGGGGCCTTGGGCACAGGGAGCAAGCTCAACTGGCCTCCTGACACAGCTGGTCTTTGCCTCCAGGTGTTTGGGGACAAGGATGCTGATGGCTTCTACCGGGGCGAAGGTGGAGGCCGGAGGGGCTACATCCCCTGCAACATGGTGGCTGAGGTGGCTGTGGACACTCCTGCCGGGAGACAGCGGCTGTTTCAGCAGGGTTATTGGTCCCCGCAGGTTCTCGTTGAGGGCTCAGGTATGACCTGCCGCTGTGCCTCAGCCAAGGCCCCCACCCCAGTTCCAATCCCCCCGCCCCCCAAGCTTTGTACGTCTGGAGAGGTGGGAAGCCTCATTTTTCGAGAGTCTCGCACAGCCACGGGGGCCTCACAGAGACTGAGGCCAGTGTGGCCACAGCAGCGAGTTGCCACAGGGAGCAGGGTCTGCTGCAGAGGGGATGGGCTTTGTCTTTTGGATCCTGGAGGTTAGGGATGGGAGAGGAATGCTCTTTTTTTAAAAAACATTTTTTTTTATTGGTTTCAGAGGGGAAAGAGAGATAGAAACATCAATGATGGGAGAGTATCATTGATCGGCTGCCTCCTGCACACCTCCCACTGGGGATCAAGCCCGCAACCCGGGCATGTGCTCTTGACGGGAATCGAACCTGGGACTCTTCAGTCCACAGGCTGACGCTCTATCCACGAAGCCAGCTAAGGCAGGGATGCTCTTTAGAAACGTGCGCACAGGGACCCTGGTGTGGCCCCAAGAGGAGACTCCAGAGTCACTGTCCGATCCCCTGCCTCGGTTTCTCTCTTACATTCACTTGCCTTCCTGGATCTCTTTCTGTCCTCCACAGCCCGAACGACTGGGCCTCCCCCCAAGCCCCGCCGCTCCAAGAAAGGTGGGTGAGACCCCCTCTCCTTTGGGGCCCGTGAGGATGAGTGGGGATGGGGGTCACTGCTTGGCTCTCTGGGGACACACACGTGGGGTTTTGAGGAGGTAAAGGGGATCGGGGCAGACCTTCCCACCATCCACCCTTCTCGAGGAGGTTAGTTCATTTTAAAGGGGACCGGAGTGGCTTGCCGGGCCCTCTGTTCCAAAAAGCCTCTGACCGTAAACTCTGTGCAACCTGGAGGAAGTCACTCACCCTCCCTGGGCCTTAGCTCATGCCCCACACCAAAGGGCTGGGCTCATGTGCTCTCTGAGCATCCTTCTCCTGCATCCCTGAGGTGAGGCTGAGCATCCCGCCCGCCCTGCCCCATCCCCTGCTTGGGATGAGCAGGGATGTGAGGGGCGGGGCTCTCACACACACGTTCTCTCTGCAGCTGAGTCAGAAGGTCCTGCGCAGCACGGTGCAGGTGAGGGGCCATCCTGCGTAGGGGAGGCCGGGGAAAGGGCTGGGGCGGGCAGGCCCTCTGGTCTCGGCTCAGAGGCTGCAATGAGTGGGGGAGTTGGTGCCGAGGGGGTCAGCAGACCTCCAGTGCAGAGGTGGTGGGGTGGGGAGTCTAGAGAGAGTCCTGAGTCTTCTCCTCTCCCCTGGCAGGCCCCCCCCAGCTGGTCTCCTCTGCCAGCCTGAGAGCCCCCCGCTCCATGGTGGCTGCGTTTGACTACAACCCTCGGGAGAGCTCCCCCAACATGGATGTGGAGGTGAGGACCCTCAGATAGAGGCCAGCCAATGCGGGTGGCGGGTGGCAGGGCCTCCCTGGGCCTGACCCCTGTCTCTCGGTCTCTCCACAGGCAGAGCTGCCCTTCCGAGCAGGGGACATCATTACTGTGTTCGGAGGCATGGACGATGATGGCTTCTACTATGTGAGAACACTGGGGAGGGGACGAGCAAGGGTTCCCCACGACGGATGCCTGGGGGAATGGGCAAGCCACCTCCCATGACAGAGATGTTGACCCCAGGCTGTTCAGGCGGCTTCCGGGTCAAGGGGGTGGGCCTGAGGCCTGTTTCCTAATCTCAGTCTCACCAGTATCTCCTCCCCAGGGGGAACTAAATGGACAGAGGGGCCTGGTTCCGTCCAATTTCTTGGAGGGCCCTGGGCCTGAGGCGGGCAGCTCCCACAGGGAGCCTGGGACACCCCCGGCCGAGAGTCAGGTCAGTGAGGAGCTGGTGTGGGGGTGGGGCCAGGGCAGAGTAGAGGGAGGGGTGCAGAGGGTGACGACCAATGAGCACTGTGCCCCGGCTGGAGCTGCTGAGTTCTGTCAGAGGAGCCCAGCCAGGGCCAGCTCCCTCCAGGAGGTGCCCCTTCAGCAGAGGGGTGATCCCCAGCCCAGCTGCCCACACCCAGGGCTGACGCAGGTGAGGGGCCCTGTGGAAAAGAACCCCTGTGCCTCCACACCTCTAGCCTGGTTTCAGGAATCTCCTACCTGCTGGGTCTCCCTGTCTCCCCAGAGCCTTTCAAAGCCAGTTGCCCAGCCGGGCAGCTTCCTGGGTTCTCACTCTTAGAGCGTGCCTCTTCCTGGGGTGGGTGGCGTACAGCTAAGCTCCAGCCTCACAGGGCAGGGAGAGGGTAAGGAGGCCAGGCCCGGACCAGAAAACCCCAGGTGGTCAAAGGCAGCGCAAAGCAGGACCGGCCCCTGTGACCTGGCGACCTGGTGACTGGGCGAACCCGTGGGTCTGTCTGTAACCCATCTCCTCTCTTTGTTCCCTGTTCTTCAGAGAACGAGGAAGAGAAGAGTCCAGTGCTAGATGGAGATAGATATATGTAGAGAAAGCGACATGTAAGTGGGGGGCTGGCCCCTGTGTCCGTGTGACCCCCACTCATCACCATAACCAGACAGCACTCCTTGGTCTCGCATGCCCGAGCCGACCTGGCTTTTCCACTTTCCTCCAGCGAATAAGAGAGGGAGATCTTGCTATGAGGTCATAGGCTCATTCCCTCCCCTTGCCTTTGGCCAGTGCCAGCTGTCATAGAAACACGTCATCTTAGTATATGATGTCCCATATCAGCGGACTCCTCAGATATTCTATAACATACGGCTTATAGAATATTACATGACGTCCACATTATGACTCATCAGTGTATTATGATACTATATGCAATGGTATTATAATATTATGATTATTATTGGTGACAAGGATGACACTGTAAAGCCACCAGTAATAATAGTCTCCCACCCTTATCCTCATCGTCATGACCTGTTAGGGGATCAGATGCATGATCTTACTTCCAACTCTCAATTTCCACTGCTGAGGGGAATACAAAAGGGTGGGGGCTTAAACAGTGGAGTCCATAGATGAACCACACCCCTCCTCTGGGGGGGCACTTAGAGACCCCCCTCTATTTCCCCATCAACCCTTCCCTCCTGGCCAGCCATCAGCCCTGACTGGTTGGCAGTAGATGCCATAACCTCTAGATGCTAGCAGACCTCTTGGTGGGCAGGCCCTGCTACATCACCTCAGCCTCTCCTCCCCGCTTAAACAGTGGAGTCCATAGATGAACCACACCCCTCCTCTGGGGGGGCACTTAGAGACCCCCCTCTATTTCCCCAGCAACCATTCCCTCCTGGCCAGCCATCAGCCCTGACTGGTTGGCAGTAGATGCCATAACCTCTAGATGCTAGCAGACCTCTTGGTGGGCAGGCCCTGCTACATCATCTCGGCCTCTCCTCCCCTTCAGCCTCTTCTCTCTCTCTCTCTCTCTCTCTCTCTCTCTCTCTCTCTCTCTTCCTTGACTGGAATCGAACCTCAGGCCCTTCAATTCGCAGGCCAACGCTCTATCTACTCAGCCAAACCAATCTGCGCTCCTCTCCTCTCTTCTTTTTCCGTAGAAGAAGGAAAGGAGAAAGGCAGAGGGTTTGAATCAGTACCAAAAGGAGGGATAAAGAGCTCTACTTGGACACAGAGCAGTCCAAGTAAGACCCCAGAGGCTTGAAATAGTGTACAACTTGGAGAATTATGATGTGTTCCAACCATAAAGTGAAAGAAAGTCTGGAAGGAGATGAGGTTGGAGAAAGGGGTCCCAGGCTGTCCTCACATGGAAGTCATTACAAAGCCTCTCTTTCCCACACTCCCTCTTCACTCCCTTTCTCCCTTTCACCAGGTTCACCTATTTGCTTTAAAATAACCCCTCAATTGAAAATTGAAAACAATTCAGGCCTTAGTCAGGATTTTCACCTTTATTCTGTGAACAATAGGAAACCATTTGACAGACTTAATTAAATGAGTGGTCAGAGCAGGGTTTCTTTTTAAGTTTATTCTCATTGCTGCATTGAGAATGGTCTGAGAAGGAATGGACAAGAAAGATTTGGACAGAGCAGGCAGGTGGTGATAGGTAAGAGAGATCATGGTGAACTGAAGTGGTGGTAGCAAGAAGATAGAAGGAGTATTGGACAGGGGTGGAAAGTATTTCTAAGGTAGAATTGATAGGTCTTGCTGATGGGTTGAGCGATCTTTTACCCTCTCTGCATCCACCCCCTTGGGCATTTAACTTTGAAGTGTCCTCTGCCTCTGTCTCTGGACTTGACCATGTGCCTGGCTTTGGGTAATAGAATGAAGCAGAAGTGCTAGGATGGTGCTTCTAAGTCTGCAACTCGAGAGGCCTTGCTCTTTCTTGTGGTCCTGTCATCTCCATGAGGACATTCCTGAGGTAGCTACCGGCATGGAACAGATACATGGCAGAGACTTGAAGTGCCCAGTCAGCCCAGTTGAGACTCGGCCAGATCAGTGGGCGGCAAACTCATTAGTCAACAGAGCCAAATAGCAACAGTACAACGATTGAAATTTCTTTTGAGAGCCAAATTGTTTAAACTTAAACTATATAGGTAGGTGCATTGTTATTAACTTAATTAGGGTACTCCTAAGGCTTAGGAAGAGCCACACTCAAGGGGCCAAAGAGCCGCATGTGGCTCGTGAGCTGCCGTTTGCCAACCACAGAGCTAGGAGGTTCAGCAAGGGGGAGATGCTAAAGGAGGGGCCAGGGCAGCCTCCTTTGTGCTGGGGGCTGAGTGACGTCCAAATATGTCTGGTTTCAGGCTCCCAGCTGCTCTCTCAGGGCCATTCAAGGAAGAGTTCCGATCTCCTCCCCATGGAGTGGCACTGGCTCCCCTCCACGAAGGCCCGGGGAGCACATCTGCTGGGCTGGAGGGCATGCCCCTTTGCCCCCTGGAGGGGACAGCTGCCTCTAGTGGTCCTGGTCCTTGCTCTCCCTTCATTGCGAGGGGATGACAAGGGGGACATTGGGGAACTCCTCCTGAGGGTCAGGTCCAAGGACTCTTGAGCTCTGTCAGCTCAGCGCCCCATAGAGAGGCCCAGAGAAAGGGAGGGGCTTGCCCAGGGCCCAGGTGAACAGGAGCAGAACTGCCTTTGCCTCTGTCCCTTCAGACTCCGAGCTCAGTGCTCCCTCAGCATCACTGTGTTCGTTCGCCTCTCTGTGCTCTGTGTGTGGGACAGGAAGGGTGGCAGGGCTCTGTGTTTGTTGTTTGTTTTAGAGAGTGAAAGGGAGGGAGGAGAGGGGAGAGAGAGAGAAAAAAAAAACATTGATGTGAGAGAGACACATAGATTGGTTGTCTCCCACAAGCGCCCCCATTGGGGCCGGGGTCGAACCTACAGCCCAGGTACGTGACCTTGACTAGGAATCGAACCCACAACCCTCCAGTGCACGGGCCGATGCTCTAACTACTGAGCGCACCGGCCAGGTGGGCTCTGGTTCTTGACCATGGCTCTGCAACATGGAGTTCTGGGCACCTGAAGCTGTAGGGTAAAGGAGTCAAATTAGGGCAGGGAGTTGGGCCCTGACCTTGTCCCTTTTCTCTCACATTCCAGGACTGGGCTGGCTCAACACAAGTGCCCCCGGGGCCTCCAGGTGGGCCCTGTGCCCCTGGCCCTGGCCGCCTTCCCAGGATTGAACTGGGGGTGCCACAGGGCACAAGCGAGAAGGTGCGGGACCTCTTCTCCAAAGGGAAGCAGCTCCTCAGGAAACTGGGCTCTGGGAAGAAGGCGTGATGCTCTGGCTCATCCTGCAGAAGGAAGTGGTTCCCGGAGGCGCCTCCCTCCCCCCACCTCCCCGCCCCGGGTTCCTGTCCTGGGGGTGGGGTTGGAGGACGGCCCTGGACTTCTATTCTTCTGAGTTAACACTGTGGCAATTGGAATGGAATCAGAGACTCGGGGAAGGTCAGAGCTAAATGAGTCCTTGAGGATGAATCCTCTGAATGGGCACCCTCCTCTTATAGGAGGGGAAACAGGCCCAGAGAGGAGGGAACTCACCATGGTCACAGAGCCAGGACTGGACCCGGGACTCTTGGCTCTTAGTACACCCACCTCTGCCTAGTTTCTCACCACGGGATGCTAGTCCCTCCTCTGGCCTTCCCCCTCCTAGGACAGGGGACCCTGGGGGAGAAAGGGGCCTGTTCCCTTGGGTGGCACTGGCTCTCCTGATCATGTCTTCCCTCCCCTGAAGGAAAGTTTGCACTGGATTGTCCCGAGCCCCTCCCCACAGGCCGTGTATATATGTACATACTCAGTGCCTCAGTCTAGCTTCCTCCATCTCGCATCCATTGCACAGGCCCGGGAAGGAGAAAGGCCATGCCAAAGCGGGCCTAACCCCCAGAGTGCTCCACCCCTCCCTGCCAGCCGGCCTCTGGCCCCTGTGTGCCCCCAGCCCCAGAGACCCAGGGGGCCAGAGGCAGAAAGCAGGAGTTGGGTTTGCCTTATTTTGCTCATCAGATTGAATTTCTCTTTTGCATCGTTTTCCTCTGGCCCCTGCCGGAGCACCGGGCTGGGGAAGAGGACAGAGTTATGCAGCTATTTTCATACATTCCCAGTTCAGAGGGGGTGGGGGCGGGGCTCTCCACCCTCCCCTCACCATCCATCCCACCCGCCTGCGGGGTGAGTGTCTGCATGTTTCCTTCGCTGTGGCGGGAGGTTGTTTGACTGAACCCCACCCCCACCTTGGTCTCCAGGGGTGAGGAGTGGTGGGGGTATTTGTTTAAAAAGACATTTTATTATAATAAAGTCTATTTTCACAAAACCCATGCTGCATTCTACCTCGGGCGAAGGACTCCTCAGGGGGCGGGTCATGCTGGACTTGAGAACCTAGAAGTTACATCCCAGGGTGCCTGGGGCAAAATGAATGGACAGCAAGCAGCTGTTGAGTTTCTTCTCTGGAGAAGAAAATGTGTCAGCTTCCCGAGTCCCTGGTTGCAGGGCCAGGTGTTAGAGTTGGGGCAGGGTCCTGGAGGGAGAAACAGAAGGGGACGAAGGGAGCACAGCAATCTTGAGTCCCCTGTACCAAACTCAGGGAAACAAAAGATGCAAGAAAAACTAACCAAAGAAGCAAACACTCACCATGCATAGCAAGACTAGAAATGGCAGGATTCCAGAAAAGACAAACAGATGGGAGATCCTACTCAGAACCTCCACGCAGGCTGCCTGTGGGAGAGTTCCTGCACGCTGCTCCGGCCTAGAGGTGGCCCAGAGCAGAAGACACCCCAGGGCTACGGACAGCCGGGGGTTCCATGTGTGACTGTTTTACATTCTCCTTCTCCCCTGGGGCCCTGAGGCAAAAGTGAGAATGTCTGCCTTTATTTTTATATTATTTTTATTTTATTTTATTGATTTTTTTACAGAGAGGAAGGGAGAGGGATAGAGAGAAACATCGATGAACAAGAAACATCGGTCAGCTGCCTCCTGCACGCCCCCTACTGGGGACGTGCCCGCAGCCAAGGTACATGCCCTTGACCAGAATCTAACCTGGGACCCTTGAGTCCGCAGGCGGACACTCTATCCACTGAGCCAAACCGGTCAGGGCTATTTTTATATTATTGTAAAGTAGATTTGTTGGGGGAGATATCTTTCTATATTGTTACATATTGACCTCCCTCATCAGTTTTAAAGGCAGCAAAAAGCCAAACAACAACAAAAAGCCCATCATGTGTATGTATCCCAATGTGGCACATTTTTGTGAGGGCTCTTTGGCTTGGTTCTCGTCTTTTGGTGGTTGGAAATGAGGCTGAAGTGAACACCCTGGTGCAGATGTCTTCATGCTTTCCAAAGCCTGCCTCTGAAGGATAAGTTCCTTCCTGGATTTAATATTGCTGAGTCAGAGCAAATATACGTTTTGGACTTTGACTAACATTGCCAAATTGCCATCCCATGGCATGGGGGCAATTGCTGCACTTATTTTTTCACGTGCTGACTGGCATTAGCTTTATCAGTCTCTTTGAATTTTAACTAATCTGAATCTTGAATTATTTTTCCTTGAGTTTAGTGCTGTGTGTGTGTGTATTGTTGTTGGGTTTTTTTTGTGGAATTTTGTCTCATGAAAGTTTACCCTTCTACCCCCCACCAATAAACACAAGTATAAAGGGAGTTAACAGAATAGCTATCAAACATTTGTGTAATCATGTAATTCAACTTGTCTTTACCTTTCTAATACTTCCCTAAACAAATTTTTGAAGCAGTATTTGAAACTAACAAAAGCTTGAATATTTACTCTTTGAAAAATTTTTATTTGCTTTATTAAAGAGAGAATGAAACCTTTCTAGAATGGTGGGTGTAAAATGCCCAGTGCTTTTCATATTTGGGAATCTACCTCCTAAAGAAAATGAAAAGAAGCATACTAAATTTTATCTTTAAAATAGTTACCTTGAATGCTTTTATGGGAAAAAATACTTACAGAGTTTACAAGTTCTGTGGAAAAATTTAAAGATCAAATTTAGATACATTTTTCAAAAAGAAAGTATTTAGGAACAGACCTAACAAGAAGGTGAAACAATAACATTTTTATAAAGAATATAAAAGTAGACTTAAATAAAATTATACTCAAGAATGTAGACTCAAGGCATTACTCAAAAAAGTAAACTCCACAAGAGCAAGTAATTTGTTGATTGCTATATCCCCAGGACTCAGAACAGTGCCAGCACATGGGTGCTCAGTAAATATATGTTGAGTGAATGAATGTACATGGATGGGAAAACTTAATATCATCAAGATGTCAATGTCACCAAGTTTATGTATAAATTGAATACAATATCAATAAAAATCTCAATAGGAGCTTTCATGGAATTAGACATTCAAAAATTCATGAGACAGACTACATATGTTAGAATGTTGAAGATTCTTTTGAAAAAGGAGAATTTATCTTACCAGAAATCAAAGCATATTAGAAAGTTAGGGTAGTTGCAACAATGAAGTATTAACATGGGAATGGATAAATAGACTTGTAGATCGGTAGAATAAAATATACATTTATGGTGGGATAAAAAACGTATCTCAATTCAGTGGAGAAATGATAGATTATTCAATGAAAGGCATTGGGCCAATTGGTTATTTATTTGGAAAATATTGAAAGTAGCTCCCTACCTTACATTGCGCATATACAAAAATTCCAGATGGTTTAGCAATCTCTATGTGAAAAATCATAGTACTAAGAATATATCAGAAAATATGTTTATGATCTTGTAGAAAGGGAGATCCTCTTAACCAACTCTGGAAACAAAATCCATAAAGGAAAAGATGGGTAAAATTTGACCACATCAAAATTAAAACCCTATAAAAAAAAAACAAATGAAAAGTGACAGGCTGGAAAAACAAACATTAGTAACACACATAGCTGACAGATTAGTGTTTATCCAGAACATATAATATCTTTTACAAATCAATAAAAAGTGACAATCCAATAGGAAAATAGATAAAACCAAATACAGGAAATTTGCAGAAGAGGTAATATAAATAAAAAGGTGCTCAGTCTCACTATTCATCAAAGAAATAAACATTGATCCAATAATGTGATTCCAATCTCTGCCCAGGAGAATTTTACAAAGTTTGGAGGACAGTTTGGCAACATCTAGCTATTAAAATTTTAAATGCACAAAATCTGTGGCCCCCTTCTCAATCTTCATCCTGGAGAACACTTGAGTGTGTGTACAAAGAGGCCTTTATTTCATTGTTTTTGTTACTGAAAAAAAAATGGAAAAATGAAAATTTCCATTGATGGAGGAATGCTTGCATAATGGAGGTATAATTCTGTTAAAGTATACTACACAACAGTTAAAAAGTGAGATTGCTGTCTAGGTGTATTATTGAGTGAGAGAAGCACATTGCCCAACTGTGTATATAATGTGATAGCATTTATGGAAAAATAAAGGCAGAGGAATATTTCCCACAGATCTACATATAGAAACGAATGTAAAGTAAAAGGTCTGGAAGGACAAATACAAAAAATGACCAGTGTGTATGTCTCAGGAGTGGAGGAAGGGGACTGGAATTGGGGATGGTGCAATACCCCAATCTAAAGAGAGCTTTAACCTGACTTGTTATATTTTAATTTTACTCAAAGTAGCTCCAAGGATGACCTGTATAATTCAAAATTAATTTTTAAAATTTTAAAGAGAGAGGAAACAAGGTCTTTGGGCTGGGTGCAATTGATGTCATTACCCTCTGCCCCTCCCCAGCTTCCATAGCCTCCTGCTCTCCAACCACACACTCGCACAGGAAATCTGGCTGTAATCCCAACTGAATTGTTCCCCAAACAGCATTAAGAAAGAACAAACTGTTTTGCAAACAGTAGCAGAGAGGGCCCGTTATCCCACAGGCAGTTGGACTTCACCTGAGGGGTGGGTCGGGGGCCATCCTCAAAGGACTATAGGCTTGAGAGGCAGGGTCCCCGCAGTGCCCTCCAGAGGCCACCCCTAGGATGGGGAGCTGGGGGGGGGGGGAGAACTTATGGGACAAGGCTTGTTTGGAATAGCTCCTGGGGCAATGTATTCTCCTTCAGGTTACTCTGCATGTTGGGAAGCCCTTAGAACCTCAAGTTCACCAGGGCCAGACAAGGAGGTCCTAGATGAGGGATCCGCAGAGGTGCACTGGGCTGCCATGCAGTGATCCTGGTCGGGCCATTCATTGATTGGAAACA